TGCTTTAAACTTACTGTAACTATGTCATAAATTTTTGTTGGTATGTATCATACCACATTTGAAATTTATTTTTCCGGAGTACTTTTTACTTTTACCGAAGAACTTTTTACAGTACTCCCCTTTATTGTAATCGGCATCCTTTAAAATACTAGAGTATGTTAAAGTTTCTTCTCCTGATGTCACTGTCTGTTTTAGAGTATCGAATTCTCACCCAAAGAATTTAAATTTATCTTGGCACGGACCAAAATACTTATCTTCTGCTAGATGGATACCATATTCAGCTTTCTTCAATTTATTGATGTTGCTTTCAAGGTGAGAATTAATTTCTATTAATCCATCGTCCGCACCCATTAACAATCCTGGCATGTTACCAAATCCAGCCATTTCTAATGCTATTACGCTTAATACAGGTGAATAGTTGGCTCCTTGAGTGAATCCTTGCTTATAGGCACATGTACCAAAGGATTTGTATTCCATATCTGAGCTATGTCAACCTTTCGAATCTAGTTCTATAGGACTGTCATATTTTTCAGCTGGTTTTGGTTTTGGGATTGAAAAGGTATTTATATTCATTATTCATCTAGATAGAGATCCAAACGGTAATTCTGATAAAACTCTACGATAGTCTACTCTATTGAAGAAAGAATCTAGATCAAATTCATAGAATCTTTTTCCTTCCGAAAGTCTTCTAACAATTTCTATACCTAATTGATAGGGACTTCTTTTTGGAAGGAACCCATATTGATAACTTCCCACATATTTTTCTGCATATATGTTGATAAATTCTGTTAAAGCGGCCATTACTAGTCTGCTTTCAATACTTGGTGCACCTAAGGGACGCACTTTTCCTGGTGTTTTTTTTGGAATATATGTTCTGTGTATAGGTAACATATGTTCCTTTAGACGTACATGTCTATTAAACTTAGTCATTATCTTTTTTAAGTTATCTATGGATCTTGTATAGAATCAATCTTTATCCACCTTATTTAAGATAAATATAGCGAATACTCTAGATTTTCTCAACATTAGATCGAAGTGTTTTCAAGCATCCAGGTATTTACCCTGGTCTATTTTTCTTGAAATTTTTTTTTCCATGTAAATCAAATATTTTGAAGCTTTTTCCAATCTTATATCATCCTGGTCTATATCTGTTTTGGTCATTGACAAACGTCAACGATAACGCGGGAAGCAATTCTTCTGCTCGATTTGTGACTGAAGTCCCGCCGCTTCGAGTGTTCTTCTGAAGAATCCTAATAGATTAGGGAATTTGAAAGTCATTGGAAATATAACTTGGGTTTATAGGTTTAAATCAAGTACCCTATCTTGATTCGGTTGATACTCAACCTTATTATTCACGAACTCACCAGACGCTATCCTTGGTTAAGGGATACTTTATAGGAACGTCAATTATTATTATTCTTAGACCTTACATCATTGATACTCGTCCATTCGAGTGATTACACTCAAAGGTTTTCTTTCTCGCTTTCTAGTTTTCTAAGAATCCAAGCAAGCATTGATACTTAACTTGTCTGATAGTCAAATCTTTACTCTAGAATTATTAGTGAATTAGATTTTTTTCTCAAA